AGCCAGGAGAGGGCGTGGTTTGGGGAGGGGAGGGGCCTCAGCAGGGTACAATGGCATGGAGTCCACCCTTCAAAGCAGCCATTTTCTCCAGGGGAGCTGATCTCCGTCGGCTGGGGATCAGTGGTAAAAGCGGGAGATCCCCAGGCCCCACCTGGAGGCTGGCAACCCTAATTGTGTGACTAGCCCAAGATCACCCAATAAGCTTCTATGGCAGACTGGGATTCAAACCCATATCTCTGTTTGCTGGTTTACAGCAAGAAGAAGATAAAACGGCTGCACCAGTGACAGGAGATAAAAAATAAGGCCAAGGCCAAAGGTGCAAAATCAGGTAAAATATATTTTATTACTCAGTTAAAATTCCCAAAAAATTCCCTACATGTTTCACCAACAGGCTTCATCAAGGAAATATATAATATAAAATATATACAATTACACCACTGAGTTTACATAAATAATGGTATTAAAATTATAAAAATAACTAAGATATTATATTAAAGCTCAAAATCCAGGTTGTAAAATATCAATCACACACAAAACCACTAGTGCTTATTCTATCCTTAAGACTGCATGAGAAAAGAAACTCCCTGTAAAAAAAGAGAGATAAGATAAAGCTGTCCAACAACCAACAGGTTTTGGCTCAAAATTAAGTCTTTTCCTGTGCCTAAATGAATGTTACAAACCTGTTCGTCTTGCAGTAATTCTTCAAAAGGAGTACAAGATCAGTAGTAAATTGTCACTGGAAGATCTTTACTATATTCTGGTGCCTAGTTGAAGCAATCTCTACTTTTTTTACAGAAGCTGATGTGATTCTAAAGACAAGTTTAACCCTGTAGTTGTCAGTGTCTGGAGTCTAACAATCCAATCTGCTTCCTTTTTCAGTAGCAGCCTTTCATTTTTACAGGTTTATTTCTGCACAGCCCAAAAATAAAATCAGAGGGACCGTGATTATTTTCAATAAAGTGTTTAGCCAATGAAGCACTTGTTCTTTTCAATTTAATATTATTTTTATGCTCTGGTATATGTGTTCTTAAGTTTCTAGTTGTTTTCCCAAAGTTTATTACAGGGACATTGGATGACATAAATAACATATGTAGAGTTAAATGTTGTGAAATCCTTCAGTATGTGTTTTTTTCTTATGATTCAGGCTGTTCTTATGATCATACCTTCAGAACATACAGTATTTTCTCAAATGCAAGACTAGCCTTTTCACACCTATGCCATCAAAATAACAGGGAATCATCTTACTTTCACATATAAGTTACTATTGCCATAAATCCACCTTAGGTCTATGGGGATTTATATGCATGTAGCATGTTAATGTAAGCATATTTTTGGGGGGGGGTTGATACCACCCCATGTTAAATCCAGCCTCCCACATTATCAGTGACTTGTAGAACACTAGTGAAGAAGAAGAGCTGGTTTTATACCCAGCCCTTCACTACCCAAAGGAGTCTTGGAGTGGATTACTGTAACAAGCATCACACTGACCTACCCTTGAGACTGATCCAGAAACTGATCCGGGTCCTGACAGGAATAGCCACACATATTCTACATGTGCTGCATCAGCTGCCCTGTCTTCCAGTGGAGTACCAGGTCAGGTTCAAGATTTTGGTACTGACCTTTAAGGCCTTGAGTGGTCTGGGACCCACGTATCTTTGGGACGGCTTCCTCTGGTAGGTCCCCCAAAGAGCCTTATGCTCTGCTGAGAGCAACCTACTGGTGATCCCTAGCTCAAAGGACATCTGGATGTTCTTGACCAGAGCCATGGGCTTTTCAGGCCTGGCTCCCATCTGGTGGAACATTCTGCCAAATAACATCTGTGTCTTGCAGGACCTGGTACAGTTCTGCAGGGCTTGCAAGGCAGAGACATTCCACCAGGCTTTTGGTTGAGGACAGCAACAGGTTCTGTCCTATCTGACAATCCCTTCCACTGCCCATCCTGCTTTTTCTCCATCTGTGAGACAGTAATGCAATTTGCAAATTGATTTTAGTGCCAACTGAAAATGGGTTTTTTTAGTTATTTTAATTCTTTTGATTTTAAATTCTATAGATTTTCTGTTGTTAATCGCCCTGAGCTCTGTAAACTCAGAGAAAGGTGGTTCATAAATAAAAAATATATACATGAATATATTAATAAATATATCACAATCACCTTCCCTTCCTCTCCCCACAACAGACACCCTGTGACATAGGTGTGGCTGAGAGAGCTCTGAGAGAACTGTGACTGACTCAAGGTCACCCAGCTAGTTTCATGTGGAGGGGTGGAGCATCACATTAGAGTCCTGCTGCTCTTAACCACTACACCAAACTGGCTCTGAGCAAAGGCTGCCTCTGAGCAGGTACAAAGGTCAGAGCTTCCCAAATACTTCAGCCCTTCCCCTGTGCATGTGTGTGAGTGAGTGGCCAAGGATGCACATGGAGAAGTTTGGAACACATTCTACTCTCTTAAACAGGAAAGCTTTATTGTTACAGGTTATTCAGTTATTCAGTTAGAGCATGGGACATCCCTAATAACTATCATGCCTACTAGTTCACAGATCTAAGGAAAAGGAAAGGAAAAATCATCTCACTAAGCTAAACTTGACAATATAGAAGGCTTACCTCCACCATCCTTCCCTGGATGTCTGTGGAACAAATGCAAATCCTGCCCCCCTCCCTTTGCTCCTTGCAGAGGAATCTGACTTCTAGCATTTGAACAAAGATTAACTATACAGGGCAGGTACCCCAAACATAGACAGAATTAAAAAATTTCCTAAGTAGACTTAAGATACCTAAATTAACAGAGGAAGATAAAAAGTTAACGGATGAAAAAATAAATTTGCAAGAATTGGTTACAGCCATTCAAAATTTCAAATTAAGCAGCTGGACCTGATGGTCTTACTTCAGAGTTCTATTAAAAATTCTTCAAATAATGTTACCTCTGTTACAAGCTATCAACAACATATTTGTGTGGTTGCTTACCTAAAATGTAGACTGAAAATAAAATTATAGTGATCCCTAAACCCTCAAAAGATCCAGCCTTCATTAGCTCCTATTGACCTATTAACCTCTTAAATATAGACTACACAATCTTTACATCTATTCTAGCAAAAGGATTGAAGGGTATAATTGGTAGATACATGTCACCTGACCAGACTGGCTTCATACCAGGTTGCCATATTACCACCAATATTTGAAAAATTGTTAATCTGTTTGATGTTATTAAGAAAGAAAAAAATTAAGTTAGCTTTTTTGTTCTTAATTGCTGAAAAAGTGTTTGATAGAGTG